AAACCAAAAAAGGGAGGAGAGAGAAAAATCATGCGTTTTAAGAGAAATATTTTTTAATAAAAAAATTATATAATATAATACATTAAGGGTATTTTAGTCATTATGCATAGAAGAGGGTATAATAGAAGTTGCAATTTTTTTTTTTAAAGAAAAGGGTATGAGTGGATGTTGTTTTAGCACATTAAAGATATAATAGAAGTTAACCCAGTTTATATATATATATATAGAATTAGCTTGAAATGTTGAAAAGTCTTTTCATTTAAAGCAGGTGAGAGGTGTGTGTTTTTTATTATTATAAAACGATAAAATAAAATCACAAGACAGAGACTCAGAAAGTTAATTTCATGGGAGTCGGAAAAGAGCGGAACAAATGCGGCAAGGCAACGACACCCATCGACCGTACCAAGTGGTATGCTAAATATTTTTTTGTAGGCATTTCCACGTGGGTCTATGCTAAATAAATGAGGGTGGGTCGAATTGTTAGCCCTCATTTAATTTCTATCAATTCCATCACACGCTAAATCCAAACTTTATATATATATATATATAATGGATAATTTATTTCCTATTTTTTCCCATACTTCATTCATATCTATTCTTGGCATTCTCACCAATATCAATAGTGAGCACTGTATCTCCTTATTCTCCCCTAATTCAAACAAATTACATATTTTTTAAAAATCGCTTTAAAAAAAATAAACTTTAAAAAAACTTTCATATATAATTATATACGAATTTTATTTTTTTTAAAACCAAAATATATGAGTTTTCTAAATATTTGAAAAATTCAATATTTTGGTATAAATTTCAAAATTTATGTATTTCTATACAAGTTTTCTGAAAGTTTGTGTTTTTTAAGTGATTTTTTTTTGTATTTTGGTTTTAAAAATGTATCTATTTAAAAAGAAAAGTGTGATTTTTCGATTTGATTTTAATTTAATTTTTTTATGTTTGTTTTTTCATTAAAATCATATTTATTTTGTAAAAAAAAATTACTTTTTAAAATTTTTTATTAGTTCAGATTATTTCAAACACAGTTAATTTGATTCTAAGAAATAACATCCAATTAATTTCTAGATAAAATTTGATTCGCATACATATTAACCGGTTTGATTTTATATTGGCCATCGAATATCTGTGTCTCTGACTTAATAAAGATTTGAAACATGGAGCGGCAATCGATAATAAAAATTTAATATTTATGCACATGATTTAACGTAACAAATGCATAAATTTCCCACCACAGATAGGACATAGAATTTAAATGATTTTTTTCTATAATAAGCTTATGAACATAATAGCGCAATACCACACAGACGTACATGCATTGTTTTATAACTTTTATATGTTTGATAATTTAAATATTTGGTCCACCTCGTATATCTACCACCCAATTGCATTTATTAGAAAGCATCTTCTCCTGTGATGTTTTATGTACTTCACACATGAAAAATGGAAATAGAAAAATATTGCATAAATTCTGTTTGGTTATGATTTTTGTTATTATACCCATTATACACGTATATATAAATTGTTGTATGTATAGTTTTGTATTTTATGTCATTCTAAGGAGATATGATATCTATATATGGATGGATGTGGAATCAAATTTATGGCACGCTTATGTACATATTTTCAACAACAAATGTAGATATGCAACACCTATATATTATATATATATGTGTGTGTGTATACATACATACCCATCTTTTTTACATATCCAAGGAAATTCCAATAATTACCACTTACATGTGTAACATACATACATACATACATACATACATACATACATACATACATACATACATACATACATACATACATACATACATACATACATACATACATACATACATACATACATACATACATACATACATACATACATACATACATACATACATACATACATACATACATACATACATACATACATACATACATACATACATACATACATACATACATACATACATACATACATGCATGCATGCATGCATGTTCCTAATTTGAATTAGTTTTTATTTTTACTTGTGATTAATTTATTGTAATATCTAGGTTTAGACTGTATACTATTTTCAAATGATCGTCTAATACACTTCAAATAAATATGAAATTATGGATTTTCCTCTGCACCTGTAAAATTATGAGTTTAGAATTTAACAAAAATGTTTTATACAAGATTGAGATTTACAAACCATTAGTGAAGATAAAAATTTATTTATAGAAAGAAATTTGGAGAAAGATAAAATTTTGTTAGATCGGAATCTTTATACTAAGGTGAGGAAAATTGGAAACACATTTATTATTTGAACAAATTTGGATAGAAAGTATACACTGAGAAACCTTACTTACCGGTAAAAATCATAATTGTATTTCCATATTTATGATGACTAAAAGAAAAAATATATATTAATATTATATATATATATATATATATATAAAGGTATGATATTAAAGCAACCATAATAAAAAAAGGGGCCAGAATCCAAAAAAAAAACAGATGAGATAAACGAAAAAAAGATACAAAAATGGCTCCGTCGTCTTCTTCTTCTCCTTCCAAATCTCCCGTTCGGTCTCTTCACCAATCCTTCCACTTCACTCCTGTAAGTCAAACCCTGTTTGTTTCCCGGGAAAACGCAAGAAAAATCTTTAGTTTTGAAAGAAAAGAACTGAGATTCATGTTCTACTCTGTTAGTCCAATAACGCGTCCCTTTTTTTTTGACGTTTCTAACAAAAATGCAGAACCTTTTCATTCGTGTTCACCTTGAATATACTTCTTCGTGTTGCCCAGCAATTTTTTCTAATCCCTTGTTTGTTTCCCGAGAAAATGAAGGAAAACAACTGGACAGAACCACTGCCGTCACTTGTTCATCTAAAAATTCAACCTTTTGTACTCCTTATGACATGATCCCTCCCTGCATATTTTCCCCAGAAAACTGATGTTTTTCTCCCTTTTTGTTCTTCCAGATACCAGAATGTGAAGAAGACAATCTCCACGAAGAAAGATGTAAAAACAGAACAACCCCAAGCAGCGACGGCGGATCCTCCGCCACTCCGAGCCGCCGCCACCGCCGCCAAAACGACGAACCCACCACCAGGAAACGACACGACAGCACTTTTCCCGGTGAAGACGACGGCACCGGAGCCGTCTCCTGCAACAACTGTCGGCCCCATCACCCTCATCGGGAAAGATTCTCCGTTGTACCTCTCGAGAATCACAACCCATCGTTCATCCCGAGCCCTAACGTGATAATCAAATCGATTTTTCAGTCTCTGACTCGGAAAAGCCCGAAACCGACGGTTGCTCCGCCGCCCTCCTCCTCCGCGTCGAGGGAAG